CCCCCACCCCCCCCCCCCCCCCCCCCCCCCCCCCCCCCCCCCCCCCAGCAACCACGAGTCTACTGTCCATCTCTGTGGATTTGCCTGTTCTGGACGCTTCATATAGATGGAATCATGCAGCATATGACCTTTAGCGACTGGGACCTTAGTACTTCCTAAAGCAGCTCAGATGCATCTCATGCTTGCTCATCCAGTTTCAACAACTCTGCACTGGGCCAGTGGTTCTCAGACTGGAGAGGGCGTCAGAGTTTCCCAGCGGGCTTTTAAAACATATGGCCCGGCCCCACCACCAGAGTCTCTGCTTCACAGCTCCGGGTGGGACCTGAGAATCTACATCTCTAACAAATTCCAGGTGACACTGATGCTGCTGGTCCAGGGACCACACTTTGAGAACCTGCACTAGACTAACGGTATTCAGGATCAAGAGAGTGAAATCATTTCACCCCCCGCCCCCCACCCCACACAAAGGCCAATTTCTCCCTCCCTTAGACAGAGGACTACAGAGACCTAACATGTCAGTCACTCTCTCAACCATCCAGGATATCCCCTACCACCCAGAGTGCACTCTGGCCAACGCGGATATAAACTCCCCAGTAAGACCCTGAGAAGATGCAGACTCACCCCCCAAAAACCAAAGCTCTTAGATCCTATAGTTAGCCCAGCCAGAGAGAAAGCATCAGATTCCTTCCATTTTTATACTGATCATCAGGCTTATAATATATTCCTGATTTCCCTTGTGTGAATTGAAAAGTACAAATTATTGCAACACAAAGGATAAGCCCTCTAGGGTTATTATATTAGGAATTATTCATCTACCTGGCAGTCTACCCATTTCTCTGTGGTGTTAGCTGACTCCCAAGGTGTTATTTTAGGATTATGAGAGATGAAGGATGTCAAGTGCCCAACGCATTGCAGGTACTCAGTGCTTGTCAGACTTTCTCCTTCCTTCACTGACGAGACTCAATACCTCTCAAGGATGTTTCCATTTGGTAGCTTAAAGACCCAAAGCCTTCAGACACAAAGGGGTAAAGCTATTTGGCAGTGGTAAAGGCTTGGAGTCTATGTTGTGAAACAAAGAATGGCCCGAAACTGTGGGTTCCCACAAGCTCTCTCAGAATTGCAATCTCCCAGGAGACTCAAACACTTATTTATCTCAAGCTGACTCCCGCCAGGGAGCTAGTCCCAAATCCTTCCTAGAATCTAACGTCATCTGATAACGCCCTCTTGTGGCCAAACAGAAATCCCACATGTGATTTTTTTTTTGGAGCAATTACCGGGAACCAGTGAAGAGCGGTAGGTGGCTGATACTGGCTCCTGAGACCAAAAGTCGAAATTGCAGGAATTTTGTGAACTGTTTTTAAGCATAGGCATTATTAAAAGTTAAAGTATATAAACATGATTAAATTATATTAAAAGCAAAGTTAGCAAATACTCAAAATTAATCACTTTCTACTTATTTTACTACATTTGAGTGCTGTCTTTGTTCTCAGGGTGATTTACATCTGTTGTATCTGTATCAGGGAAATACCAGATGATGCTTTGCTACCGTACAGCTCTTCCCAGCTCTGTGTTCCATGGTGTCACTCTGGCAGCTCGAAACTGGACCGGGTGGGAGTATTTATGCCACGGAAACAGGCAAGCTTTTCAGAGAGCTGGTTGTTAAGCCTTTACCAGCACGCCGCTGCTCAGAGCCTTGCTCCGTGGGAGCTCCCAGCAGGGTAGAGAGGAACCAGATGTGCCTGTGGGCTAAGTAAGAGCTGAGAAAAGTCTGGGACTGTACTGCCCAATATGGTAGCCACTAGCCACCTGTACACATTATGTTTAAACTTAAATAAATGAAAACAATTAAAAATTCAGTTCATTCGTTGCAGTAGCCACTTGTCATATGTTCAGTAGCCACATGTGGTTACCATCTTGGATAACACAGATACAAAACATTTCTATCATCACAGACAGTTCTTATAGTACGGCACTGGCTAGAAAACAGGAATTTCCAATTCATGAAAATCACTCAGCACAGTTAGTTGCTATTATTATTCCTTTTCTGCAGCTGTTGTCCTCCATATGGTTCAAATAAACTTTGTGGAATATCTCCTATGTAGATGTAGGTCAAGGGCATAGACTTGCATTTAGAAGTTGAATAAGTTCTAGGGCTCTAAGGCTCAGCGTAGTGATCAAAGTTGACAATACCGTGTTATGCATTTCAAAGTTGCTAGGAGACTGGATCTTAAATGTTCTCACCACAAAAAAGAAATAATGGTAATTACGTGACATGTGAGAGGTGTTACCCAACGCTATGGTGGTAATCACTTTGCGATATATAAGTGTATCAAATCAACACATTATACAGCTTAAACTTACTCAGTGTTATATGTCAACTATATCTCAATTTTTAAAAAAAACTATGACCTTTGTGCCAGGTACTTGCTAGGGGTCCAAGGATGAATGCAAATGGTCCTGCACTCAGGAGCTTACAGACCAGTAGAGGAGAGGAGAAAAAAATGGAGATTTTAAATAGAATTTGTTAAAGCCTAAGATTGAGATGTTGTAGGAGAAAAGAGAAAGGACACTCACCCCTATGAGGGGCAAGTTGATGGTGCCTGAAATGCCTAAGGCCAGATAGAGAAAGGCAGGAAATGGCTGCTGGGCAGTGGAATGTGAGGAGAGATAAGGCCATGTGAAGAAGCATGACAACGTTTGGGAGAAGTCAAGCAGTTCTGAACGCTGGGGTAGGGACAATCTTGCTGTATGGATGGACAGTGACCAAGTCATGGAAGATCAGGCCAGACTGAGGGGCTCAGACCCTATCCTGAGGGCATCAGAGAGCCACAGAAGCTTTACTTATGGGGCAAAAGGTAGCACTGGCCCTTTGAATAGAGGCTACAATAGAGGCTGGATTTAAGGTGGGTAATACTGGTAGCAGTTTGATTATGTTATGATGGAATAAATCCACACAGGAGACAATGAGAGCATGAAGTAGGTCCGTGGGCATAAGCTAAAAAGGAGGAAAAGAATCCGGAAATAATAGGAGAGGTCACATTAGCAGGATTTGGCAGCTGATTGGAAGTGAGGGTTAAGGAAGAGGGATGACCCGGGGACGACTCCACGTTTTAGAGTGGGACCGTGGGACCCTGTAGTCACTATACCCAAGGATAAAGCGTAAAGTGAGGATCCAGAGGAAGATACCCCTTGGGGATTAGCCCCAAAGCAGAGCCCCTCCTGTAGTCGGTTCCCTGAGACCCACTCAGCCTCCACACCTGTAACCACTTGGTGCTGGAGCTGCCAGGGAAATGGAAGGGCTCTCTCGGGCTCTTTCTCAGATCCACTCTGCCGCACGATGATTGAATTATCACACTGTAAGAACCACAGGGCAACCAGTCTTGGCCCCTGGAGGGATGGAGAGGCCTGGAGGTCAGATTGCAGCCTGTGGGAAGGTAACAGTGTCCTGGGGTGTAATTTAAAGTTAGCAGGTCAGTGCGGGCTTATGTTGAATGTTCTACTCACATCGGTTTAGGGTGGGGACCACGTTTGTCTTGGTGCTGCATTACACCTATGACTACGACTTAGTTTTCTCACTACAGGAGGAAGAGTAGAAGAACCATCTAGAAAACCAAGAGTGGTAAGAAGCCAAGAACAGCCCACAGACATCATGGAGCACAAGCAAAATCAAAGAAGTTAAACACTCACCCAAGAGGCACCTCCTGTGATCCCCTGGGTTTTGGAAAGCTCAGAAGTCGCATCACAGAACACCAGGCACTGTGACCCCATCGTGAAGCCAGCTCTGTAGAATCACTGAGCAAGCTCAACCTGCTTCTAAGCAGCAGTTCCAAGGTCACTGGAGGAGCAGGGAGGAACAACAAGAACTCTCGGTCTTATTTTCATGTATATGTGTTCATTAAAGCTTGACCTCATGGAACCCTCTCCACACCATATATAGTATAAGGAAAAGTAGCTTCATGTTAATTTCTTCCCAACTTCCCAGTTGGGAAATCTCAAGGAAAACCCTAGCACTAATGTAAATAGACACACACACACACTCCCCACCTTATGAAACTGGACCTTCTCTGTGATCCACATAGATCCTTTCCCAGCCTCCGGTTGACCAGCCCATCTTCCTGGTAATATTTCTTAATGAATACTCTCTAAGACCTCTGGACTGGTAAGGCGGAATCTTTTCGTCCTCAGCTCAGTCCTCTAAATGAGCTGCCTCCCACTGAGCCTTTGATTGTAAATTTCTAAAGAACAGAGGCCATGGCAGAATAATCTTTGGGTAACACCAAATGAGGGCAACCAAGCCCTTGGAATTGTAGAGCTTCCATATTTGAAAGGATTTTACTGGAGTTAATGTCAGGAAGAGAAGGATAAACTAGGTCCCAGGCAATAAATTATACCTGTCAAAAAACTTTCCCTGGACATTACTAATAGGCCTCTTCAAGAGTCCGTTTCTTTGAGATTGGTATAAATGATACTCTGAATTTGGCCTGCACGAATTTGATGTTTACAGACAGACACACGATGTGCAAATGTGTATATTTCCAAATAAGTGTCATAAAAACACTGATAAGGGAGCAATACATTTAATGTTTATAGAAGGAAGGAAAGAAGAAGGAAGTGAGGACAGGAGAGGGAGATCATATTGACAGAATGTAACTGTGGAAAAGGTCACACCAGTGGTCCCCAGGCTGTTAGCACAACGTTTAGCAAAGCAGCATCACCTGGAGGCCTTGTTAGAACACGTATGGCTGGGCCCATCTCCAGAGTTTCTGAGTCTGCAGGTCACATTTCTAACAAATTCTAAGTGATGCTGGTGATGCTGGTCTGGGAACCTCACTTTGGGAACCACTGGGTTATACCTCTCCATGCCCACCCACCTCCACTCCTACTGGGAAAGTCAGCTTCAGGTGCTGATTTCGGTGAGCGTTATTGTTCCGTCTCTTGGGTAAAATCTCAATCCTCCAATCAGTTAACTCAGATGTCCCAGTCGAACAATCAATGAAAAACTTAAACCAGCAGCCAGTTTTCATTCCTGAAAGGGCAGGAAAGTGTTATGACAAAGGTGGGCAGGTGTTAGAAGGTCCATACCCAGATTAAAGAACCATTTTCTGTCCTTTCTGTGACAACCAAGTACAATCCAGATTCCATTGTCAACATCCTCCTTTCTAAGTACATATATGTTTTCTGGGTAAACTAAAATGAGAGGAATCTCAGATCAGAAAAAAATTTTTTTTTAAATCTTATTTATCTTACTTGAGTAAAATTAAATTGAATAATTATTACTCATTTTGGGGGAAGGAGGTCTATGAGATCAAAATTTTTTTCATAATAATTAAGATGATATTTACTTTTATCACTCTTATTCTCTTATAAGCATATGGTAGAGTTTTCCAGAAGCTACATGATATGTGATGATGTCATTGCTCTGATCTTAACACATAGTGAGTTTATTACTATTGTTTAGAAAAGAATTAATAAATAATATTTTTTAAATTTCTTGGTTTTAGTGTCTGAATATGTTAAGTATTGCTGGATATGACTACATAAACAAAAGCTCTTTGGGAGCCTCAACAGTTTTTATTCACGTACAGAGGTCCTGACAAATAGTTGGCAAGCACATCATCATTGGTCATTTCAGAAACGCAAATCAAAACCGCAGTGAGATACCATGTCATGCCCACAAAGATGACTTTAAGCCAAAAGGGGAAAAAAAAAAAAAAAGGAAAGTAACATATGTTGACAAAGATAGAGAGAAATAGGGACCCTCATACCTGGCTGGTGGAATGTAAAATGGTGCAGCCACTGCGGAAAACAGATTGGCAGTTCCTCAAAAAGTTAAACATAGAATGACCATATGACCTTGCGATTCCACTCCCAGGTATATACCCAAAAGAGATAAAAACCTGTGTCCACACAGAAACTTAGACATGACTGTTCGTAACAGCACTATAGCCAAATAGCCAAGAGGTGGAAACAACCCAAACGCCCATGAGTGGACGAATGGATAAGGAAATTGTAGTAAATCCATATATGGCAACATCATTCAGCCATAAAAATGAATGGAGAACTGGTACATGCTACTATGTGGATGAGCCTCAAAAACAGCATGCCAAGTGAAAGAAGCCAGACACAAAAGGTCACGAGTTGTGTGATTCTTTTTATATGAAATATCCAGAGTGGGCAGCTCCAAAGAGACAGAAGGTAAGTTAGTGGTTACCAGGGGCTGGAGAGGGTGATTACTTAATGGGTATGGGGTGTTTTTCTGGGATGATAAAGACAACAACATTGTGACTACACTAAATGCCACTGAACTGTATGCTTCGTAATGGTTAATTGTACGTTATGTGAATTTCACCTCAATTAAAACAAACAAACAAAATGTCCTGAAACTAAAATATTCGAGCACCGCTGGTTCCATTCACGATTCTCAACGAAGGATCCTCAGCTCACAGTGGAGGGCCAGGGTCTTCCTGAAGTTTTTATAGTGACTGACTTACTAGTATTCTTTTAAGTGAGTTATTATTAAGACTCATGAATTTTTTTTTCAAAAACTGAAATTAACTTATTACTAAAGCATACTGAAGACCCCGATTCAGTATTCTATTGAGATCATGAAATTTGCATAGCTTCCAGGAAGAATGCTATTATTTATAAATTACTAGAACTGTCTTGGGTTGATTTTGGTTTTTGATTGCTAGCATTCTCACAGCTAAATTTTAAATTACTGTCAGGATTTGTCACACTGGGGTTGTGTTTGATGACTCCCAACATGCACATGTCATAATCAGTTTAACTTGTTATGGGTTTTCCGGCTTATCTACAATGTACAGCGATAGATCTTTGCATCATTTGTGTTGTTGGCTTATAATTTTCAAGTAAATAGGCTTTAAAGCATGACTGTGTTCTTGTTTAAAAATAACCATATGACTTCCAGTTTCCAGTCTGGCATATGAGGAACTTGGAAACCATCACCCCCATCCTAACAAGAAAAACTCTGAACAAACTGAAAATCAACAACTCTTCTCAGATTCATCAGAGAATTGAAGTCACAGGGCGAACGTCTGTCCCCAAGTTTAAGAGACAGACAAGTGGAAACAGAGAACCACAGTTGACTGGAGCAGAAGCCCAGGACAGACCCTGGGGTAGCACCAGGGCAGGGACCCCTGCACTGATGGATCGCCAGAGGATCAGTGTGGACAAACCTGAGAGCTAAGAGCTCCAGGGCTCCCAGTCATAGGAGCCCCTACACTTTTACGAGTTTTATCTCTGGGAGGTGTTCCAGGTTCTCACTGTGGAGATCAGAGGAAAATCCCCTCATGCTTTCAGTGGGGGAAGGGGAAAAGGAACCATTTTGAAATACACCTGAGAACTCTGTTCTCCTCAACAAGGCCCATCCTCAGGAGAAACTATTTTCTTGACTGTCTTGGGTTTTACCCAACCTAACCAACCAGAGGGAAGGGAAACATGCAACTCCAGTCCCCTCTGGCCTTCCCATCCCCCCTGAGGGGCAGGGGTGGAGAAGCACAGCCACAGGCTCACTAACAGGCCTAGTCCCTAATTGTAGGACTATAGAACACATCCCCCATACCTCACCACCCCATCAACAAGGGCCCTGTGCAATAACACAGGAACACGGCTGAGAGAACTGCACATCTCAGACCCTACTCAAGAAGAAGGCTCTAGGGAAACCCAGAGACAACAGGGGAGGACAACAGTGACTCCAGAGGACATTTTAGCCTCTGACACCACAGCTACAGCAAACAGTAAACACAGCCTAACGCCCTCCAGATAAACATAAATTCCACACCAAAGACCTACTCACCCCAGTTCCCTTTACCTAGTACGTTGTGTCCAGCTTTCAACAAAAGATTACAAGGAATGCAAAAAGTCAAAAAATACAGTTTGAAGAGACAAAGCTAGCATCAGAACCCAATTCAGATATGGCAGAGATGTTGGAATTATCAGACTGGGAACGTCAAACAACTATGGGAAATAAATCATTCTGACAGAGAGTGCTATGTCCCTCTAAATCCATTCTTCCACTGATAATAAAAGCCCCAGGTTGTAGGAGGGAACACATCCCTCCCCCCAGCTAAGGACAGTGTTTTCTGGCCTCCCTTGCAGCTAAGTGTGGCCATGTCACTAAGTTCTGACCAATGAGACATGAGGGGCAGTAAAGTGTGCAGTTTTCAAGATGTGCCCTTGACCAGAACAGGCACGCCCTTCTCCTTCTTGATCTCTTCCATTGATTGGCAGGTGGTCTTGGTGGTGGGAGTTAGAACCACCAGTGGGATAGAAACTACATGTTAAGTTTGACAGGGAAACAAAATCAAAGGAGCCTGGCTGTGTGACACCATCGAGGTGCCACACCAGGAATGCTTACACTAGGACTGCACGTGAGACACAAATACCCTCCCATTGAGGCCACTGTGATTTTTGATTTTTTCAGAGCTGCTGTACCTGCATCCTATAGCAATCATCCTTCTCTACTGATATCAGACATATATATGCCCCTCTGCCAAATTTGACTTAATCAGTCATATCAGTATCAAAATATTTTCAACAGAAAATAAGACAAGAATTAGCATTCAGGCAGACTTTCAAGTAAATAC